CTTGTCTCCTCAGCGTATTTTGTATAGATGGCACCCGCAGGTTTGAGTTTGATGTTAAGTAATCATATTGTGCTACCTCATGTATTCTTTTCTTCCTTCACTTTTCTGTGCCATTGCCATTTGGTGATGTGCTTAGAAGAATCTCGACATTTGAAGGATACAAGCAAATGCCACTTTAAAGCATTTGATAATAACAAATTTTCAGTACTTTCATGGGTAAGTCAAAGCCCTTCACAGACATTACTCATATCCACAACAGTGTATTGGAGATAACGGGACAGGTATTATTGGTATTTTTCAAATAGATGCTGAGGTCACCCGAGAAACATTTGGCAAAAATGGTAAGGATATTACAGTAGAGAGTTGGCAGAAGCCGGCAGCACATAGTGACTTGCCCAGTGGTCTATGGCCAGTCGGCCACAGAGTGGGAGGAGAACCTGGGTCTGGGAGCCAGTCCTCTAGGCCCGTGGTCGGCAAACTGCGGCTTGCGAGCCACATGCGGCTCTTCGGCCCCTTGAGTGTGGCTCTTCCACAAAATACCACATGCGGGCATGCACGTACAGTGTGATTGAAATTTTGTGGCCCATGCACAGAAGTCGGTATTTTGTGGAAGAGCCACACTCAAGGGGCCAAAGAGCCGCATGTGGCTTGCGAGCTGCAGTTTGCTGACCACTGCTCTAGGCCATGTGCAGTTCTGATTCTCGCCCTCTTGTGAATGGTTTGGGGGCAGGGCCGCAGGAGGTGAAGGCAGTAACTAGACCGAAGTGAAGCAGCCTTTGGACAGACTAGCATCCCACTCTGCACACATTTAAATCTAACTTTTTACACTGAAAATTTTTGGCCAGTTTTACACAGATCATTCCTCTTACCACTAGTAATTACTGTAAGTAAACACGTGGATTTGAACTGTCCTTTCTATTTCATAAACCCAGTAAGCTTTTACATTTTCCCTAAAGAAGCTCTGATTGGCTCTTTAACTGCAACCTAGGGCCTGGGGATAGACATGCTAATGGCATAACACAGTGGTCAGCAAACCACGGCTCACGAGCCACATGTGGCTCTTTGGCCCCTTGAGTGTGGCTCTTCCACAAAATACCACGTGCGGGCACGCACATACAGTTCGATTGAAACTTCGTGGCCCATGCGCAGAAGTCGGTTTTCGGAAAGGAGATAGACGAAACAAGTATACAAGACGAGTGTGGATGGGAGAGTTGGAAGGGGTCGACCTCAGTGAATGTACCTCAATCAGATTAAGGACGTTTTTAGCAAAGGCCAGCTTAGGAGTACCCTAATGAAGTTAATAACAATGTACCTACCTATATAATTTAAGTTTAAAACATTTGGCTCTCAAAAGAAATTTCAATCGTTGTACTGTTGATATTTGGCTCTGTTGACTAATGAGTTTGACAACCACTGGCATAACACATTCCAGCAAAGAAAACAATACCACTGTTTTGGGTTTATTTTGAAATGCCTACACACTTGAAAGTGTTCATCTTAGTAGACATTTTCTAACTGGCATACATAGTGTTGATGCCTTCAAGCAGCAGCATGTTCTCGGTCTAATTGTTTTTGGACAGAGGATGAGCCATTTATATGGGAAACAGAAGGAAGAATTGAGCATCCGAGGCCTTTTAATGACTTCCAGCCTTGATCTAAGGGCACAAGAAGTGTGACTTCTGAGAGAGATAAAGATAAATGCAGCCACTTTCACTAGAATTATAATAGCCCTTCCTTAGCCACTTGGATTCAAGAAAGATTGGCTGTCAGGATAGAGAAGTGGCCTGCACTTGCCTTGGAGGAGTCTTCAGCAAGTCAGGGTTTTGAGAGATAATGTCCAAAAGCAAGCACAGCTGAGGGCTTGTTATCGGAGGCAAGCATAGCAGTGAATAAGGCTGCTCTTATCATGAGCCGGCACTAAGTTCTGTACATAATTCCAGTTAATTTCAGGTCCTCCTGCATCAGTAAGTGCAGCGAAGGTTGTCCTTGGTGAGTGTCAGTCAGCTCCTTCCCGTGGGCCCGCTGTGGGCTCAGCCCCCCTTAGGTTCTTCCTAGAAGCTCTAGTGCAGACATCACAGCCTAGACGGCTGCTTCCTAACTTTGGCTCACATTCTCTTTCATTTTGATTTATTTTAATGCACTGCAAATCAATGGGCATTTCTTGATTTGATTCTTGTAATGGCATTATTTCAGCTTTTAAGGAGATAAAGGTGAACAAGAGTAAAGTACTTCCCTTCGTAAGTTCTTAGCCTTTTCCCCCACATTTTCCCCTAAATTTTAAAGTTGAAAAGGTTCAAACCAACAGCAAAATCTATATATATTTTGCCCAAATTTATCAATTGTTGACATTTTTCTACTTATGCAATTCTTCTTTTGTGTGTGTTTTTTCTTTCCAAACCATTTCAATCCTGCTTAAACCCCTCCTAGGTTGAAAATATCATAAGTAGAAATGCATTTGATATGCCTAACCTACTGAGCATCACACCCACTTTACAGGTGCTCAGAACACACGCTAGCCTACAGTTGGGCAGCATCATTTCATTGCTGCTGCAGTATCACAGTGCATATTGCTGGCCCAGGAAAAGATTAGAGTTCAAAATAGAGTTTCCAGTGAATGCATATTACTCTCACACCATTTTAAAGTAAAAAAACTGTAAGTCAAACCGTCATAAGCTGGGGACTCTATGTTGAAGGCATGATGATACAACCTGAAGCATTTCGGGGGTTAAGTATTTCTCAAGAACAAGTATGTTCTCCCATATAACTACAGTGCCATTATCTACTCCAAAAACTAGAACACTGATAGATTAGTATTGTATTGCCTATATTCATGTCCCTTGGTTTTTTCCAGTGATGCTGTTTATAACATTTTTAAATCCACTACAATATCTTTAAAAGTCATACATCATATTTAATTGTCTTATCTGTTTAGGGTCTTTTAACTCAGAAAAGCCCACACACACACATACCTTAACACTGACAGCTTTGAACAGCCCAGGCCAGCTAACCTGCCAGGTGCCCCCCATTCAGCGCTGGTCTGATGGCTTCCCCTGATTAGATTCAGAGTAAGCAATTTTGACAAAAATTATTACACAAGTGATGTTGTATTTGTGTTCATGTCACATCACATCAGGAGGCACATAATGTCAGTTTGTTCTTTTACTGGTGATATGAGCTCTGTCTGCTACATTTTTTAAATTGGAAGTAATACATGGAATACTTTGAGACTGTAAATATCTTACTCCCCAACAACGTTTCACTCAGTGGCTTTAGCATCATTGATAGATGATCCTGCCTGAACCAGTTATTACACTGGCAGCTGCAAATGGTGCCTTTCTAATTCTCTAATTCCATCACTCATTCCTTAGTAGTAGCATTCTTCTATAGAAGAGATGTTCCTGCCTCAGGGATTCTTTTTATTGTTTGATATATTATTTTGCATCACTCTCAGTATTCTTCTCTATCTCTATCTTCTCAATTTCTACTGATTTTTTTTTTAGCTCTCTCTTGCTTTTCTGGAAACAGATGTTTCAGACTCACCTATACTTTGCTGATCCTAGACTAAGAATCTAAATACTCAAAGTCTCTTCTAGGGAATCGATCAAGTAATTTATAAATAGAAAAGGAATTATTATCCACTTGTGGTAGGTAGTGAACCAAAGAGTACTCTACAGGCTAGAAGGTGACAGTTGACTTTAGCCTTGAAGGATACAGCAAGCATAGAAAAAATCAGATATGTGCCAGGAGAGAGAGCACATCGAAACTTTTCATGGGAGTAGGACGTTCCTGTTCTATTAAAGAAAGGGCGAGTAGGAGGAAGCGGTCAGGTAAGGAAGGGCCTCAAATGCCAGGATGTTTGGGATGGGGAACAGGCAGGTTATAGGCAATTGGGTCGATCAGATAAGGCATCTAGAGCAGTGGGAAGGAAAAGTGATGGTTTGGAATGAGTATGATTAGAAGAGTATCTGCTATGTGTCCAGACAGGAGTCTACTCATTATATTCCTCAAAGAATGTAGGAATACTAGTTATACATTATCCTGTAATATAAGACTATTGCTGAATTTTAAAATTGCCTTTCCAAATATTTCCTCAGAAAGATAACAGGCTCCCTCTAGTGGGAAGTGGGCATTACAATCGAATTACTACAGTGTAACTTCCTGGTTTCCTGACTCTGACAGTATGGGCCCATAGCACTTGTTTATTTTTTCCCTGAATTTTACCCAAAAATAATAATATTTATAAGACAGTCATTTTTGGTAATGTGAACTGCTCTTATATAAGCAAAGAGAAGTGTGGTCACCACTCTGTGCCTAGCATTCACTCCAAGCACAGTGTTAGAAAGTGTAAATATAGATTTATGTAATTTATGAATACGTAAGTTCTTATTATAACCCCTCTCAAGCCTTCAGCTGGATAACTAAGTGGTGTACAGGACAGCTCCTCCTGTGCTTGCTTTGCAGCAGTGGCTCACTCAAGGTTGCACGTTGGGAGTCACCTCTAACCTTTGCTCCTCCTATTACATTCACAGAAAAAAGGCCTTTTCTTAATTTATGAGGGAAAAAAAGATCAAAATCCTATGCTTACTTGAAGCTAAAACAGGATTGCTATAGAGTTTAATGACTGGTGTACATGTTCTGAATCATCAAGAAAAATTCTAATTGCACCAGGCAAGGAATGGAGTAGCACGTTACAGAAATGGGTTTTGGTTTTACCGTTGATAAGGAAAAAAAAAGAAAAGTTAATGAACTTTGCTATGAGAATGGCATGTATCTGAAAGGTCAATAACCAGCCACCAGCCCCAGCAAGAGAGGTTACAGCAAGTTAGAAAAACTTCCAGTTTTAAAATCCCATGTCGTATACTAGTATTTCGTCCACCCACATTTTACGTATCTTCTATCAAAGCACGTGCTCGCTTGTTTTTCAGTAACTGTTGACAGATTCATTCCACACTGGAGAAAGGTTGGCTTTCACCGAACATTTTCTTCTCGTTTTCTTATAGCAAATCACGTGCTCAGCTTTGGAACCCTGGTCAGCACCTCCAATACCTACGATGGATCTGGTGTTGTGACCGTGGAAACGGACCACCCACTCCTCTGGACCATGGCCATCAAAAACTGACCCAGGGACTGGCCTTCGTAGCTCTGCCTCCAACTTACCTCATCTGCCAACAACTCATTGCTCAACAAGCACAGTTCCCCTTGGTCTGCAGGAGTCTAAGCCCACTTGTTTTAAAGCTGTCAATGTTTAGTTAAATTCAGGTAACATAATGACAGATCTCAGTTTTACAATGAGGGGAGAAATCATTATGTTTAAGAAAATAAATAAGCTCTATTACATTCGGTTGAAAAACTAATGTGGATCATTCCACCATACAGTTCAGTACTGATTGTCCTTCTGTTATTAATCATTCCATTTATCCTAGAAAATGACTTTAATTCAAAGCTGAGAAGGCTCAGTGGGCTCCTTGGTATCAGCACACAGGCCTCCTGCTGCACACCCTCCAGGGCTTGACACCCAGGGCTGCTTCCGAGCCTTTTAGCGTTAGATTCCTGTGTAGCAGACGAAAGTTTCTTACCAGATTGAGATGTTAGGACTGCACCCTTTTACTTCAGCCTTATTACGATCTCTTAAAAATAAGAACCATTGACCTAATTATTAAATTTGAAAGCAGGCAGTTATGGAAGCTCTAGGTGAAAGGAGAAATGGCATGAATTCCTAAAGCCCTGGGAGACTCCCAAAGCTGCCTCATTGCCTTGCAACCTGGACTGAGACCACTGTGCACAGCAAGCCCAGAAGTGGAATCACTCCTGACATACCTCTGACTGAGCTCGCAGGCAACACGCTTACCCGATGACCAGAAAACGAGCCTGGCAGCCTGTGGGATGAGTGAGCTCCGTGCACTGAGGAGCCTGGGTCTGAAAGCCTGCGTTCCTGTGCCCCATTCACCTGACTCCCCGGAGCCCTCTCCTCACCTGGAAATGGAGGGACTGGACGGAGGGTCCTGAGCCCCTTCCCACACTCAGGGCCCAAACACTGACTGGCGGTTACTGGGCAGATCCTGCACAGGGTGAGAGCGTTAATCCCGGCACTGAAACATATTCATGTTGCTTTTAGGATTAGACCCTCTTCTAGCCTCTTACCCTTTCTGTCCCATTTCCCAAACCGTGTGTGGCCATATAAACCAGGAAGTAGAAGAACCTGCCAATGGGCTGCCGCCGTGGGAAAGGGACCAGCAGCTCTTTCCTCCTGGTGCTACGAGAGGGCCTCTCTGAACCAGCGCACAGGTAACCGTGAGACCCTCCTAACCATCTGTGCAAACGTGTGTGAGACTGGAATCCAGATGTCAAATAAAAATGTTCAATGTGCACGTGTGTGGTCAGTATTAAAGAAAACAATCTTCCTCAACTACTTCATTATCACCAACCTCTCACCTCAATGTTTCTACATTTTAAAAAAGATTTGCTCAAAGGATGATTAATAAGGGCAATACTTCACTCATCTGATTTCGGAGAACAACCAGAATTATTATTAATACATTCTCTAACCTCTCTCCCTGGGAGTTCCTCTCCAGATCCCCTGTGCCGGGTGTTTACCTGTGACCCCCCTATAAGATAAGATTAGGCAGAGACCTGTGTACCCTCTAGGACTGAGAAAGGAAGGACAGGTAGATTGCTTTTCAAGAGCTTTCTAAGCTGGAGGGAAAGGAACAGAGAAGGCCCTGCCAGAGTAGAGGAAGTGGAGGAAGCTGGAGGAGGAAGAGCGTGGCCAGCGAGGGAGGGCCCACGGAGCTCACACCCAGTGCTGCAGGGGAGCCACGGCTAGGTCCGTCCATTCTTCTCAGCACAAACGCAGAGCCCAGAGCTCCTGTCCACACACCACCCAGCTCCCCCTCACCACACAGACAAATGCACAGCAGCCGGGGAAGGCGGGCCAGCACCGGCTCCTTCAGCTCATTTAACTCGGAACCTCCAGCAGAAAAGCTTACCCAAGACTCCACACCACACCTGCACCAACGGAAACTAGAAAGCAGTGAGTGCCGGGTCAAGTGGGGGCATTCTCAGCACCTGTTGTCACTTTACCTCACAAGTCAGGGCTCAGCCGCTCTGTATTCATTACTAGGAATGTGTTCACAGCATGTAAAATAAATATGTCCATTGTTTTAAGATTTTACCACAAAAAGAATGCATGTGCTATTTAATCTGAAAATCTTCCCAGTGTCAAGTGGACATTTAGCTAAAGGAATACAGTTTACTGTATTAGCACTAATGGAGGCAGCACTGAGACTTCCCCACACCACCAACCGCTGTGACGCAGTCGCACCAGCGCCCACTCCCCCCCCCCTGCCCCCTCATGGAAGGCAGAGGGCACCCTCCCCATTCCTGCCAGATTCCTGAAGAATGAGGCATTTGACCCCTTCCATTCCTAAATCTACTTAAGTGCCATTTTCTGCTACCTGACTACATCATTTTAAGATGTTGATTTTCAATCCTCACCTGAGAATGTGTTCATTGATTTTTAGAGAGGATGGGAAAGAGAGAAAAAGAAACATCAATCAGTTGCCTTCCATATGCACCCCAACCAGGGATCGAACCTGCACCCTAGGAATGTGCCCTGACCAGGAATCAAACCCACCACCTCTTGGCATACGGATGACATGCCAACCAACTGAGCCACACTGGCCAGAGCTCCACTGCTTACTTTTACACTAACACTGAGCCTGCAGATGAGATCTCCGGTCACTGGGGAACCTGCCAGGCCTCTCCGGCTGCCCCTCTGCCCCAACGCCTGTTCAGTTCGGGTCCCGACCTCCCGATTACGGCCACAAGAGAAACTGGACGCTGGGCCCTGCTGGGAAAACCACTGGGTTCCTTGGCCCCTTTGGCTTCAGTCTTCTTCACACAAGTCAGATTTATAGCTTTTATAAACCTAGAGATGGTCTCCCCAGAATGGCCCTGAGTTACCTAAATCTCCGATTAGTGACAGCTTATTCTCTTCCAGCAGCTGGGAATCCGCAGGTGGTCTGAGGTGGAATAAGGCATCTGTGTGGTCAGGAACTGGGAGTGGACCCCAGCCCCACTGTAGGTCGTGCAGAGTAATACAGGGGTGGGCAAACATAGGTTTACAGATGTGAGTTCACGAAACAGTTTATTCTCATTGTTAGTTTTTAATTATTATATTAGTTTCCATACAAACAACCGTAACCCTACTCTTGCCCACCAGCTCTGTATGTCTGCATTCCTTAACTTCTGCTAAGCAGACAGCAGTTTTCTCTTGGATGAGAACTAGGGCCATTTCAGGACATACAGAGGATCACTCGGCAAGGCGGCTGAGACAGCCTTGGGCCGTCACAAGCTAGCAGCCGTGGGCAAACTATGGCCCGCGGGCCGGATCCGGCCTGTTTGAAATGAATAAAACTAAAAAAGAAAAAAAAAAAGACCGTAAAGAAAAAAAAAAAGACCGTACCCTTTTATGTAATGATGTTTACTTTGAATTTATATTAGTTCACACAAACACTCCATCCATGCTTTTGTTCCGGCCCCATTGTGGCCCTTGAGTCAAAAAGTTTGCCCACCCCTGGTTTAACCTCACTGGGGAAGGGGGCCACTAGTTTATTATGTTGTATCTATGGCATCCTATTCAGAATAAAATAAATGATCCTTATGCCCGGGCGAGATCAAAACTGAAAGCACAAGGCGACCCCATTCCCAGGGAGTCAATATATAGGAAATGGAAAATTCCTTGAACATACAAGTTAGCCCTTCCTTGCCCACAGCAGATTTCACTTATTAATCATAGTTTTCTTTTCTGATGAGCCCCTTCTCACAACACTCCTCCAGGCAGCCAGGATCAATGATTCTCCATTGTCGTGGCACCCCTGGAGACTCGGAGCTGGTGCATGATGTCACCACTGACCATACAGCAGCTCCCTGGGGAGGAGGTCACGGCAACATCATTCCTCACAGGTGATGGAGAGGTGAACACATCATCCTTCCTCACAGGTAATGGAGCGGCGAACAGGTCCAAGGACTTGTGCCCGACGGCCAGAGAGAAACACATGCCTTCCCTGCAAAACATGAGCAGGGCCCCAAGGTCGCCCGCAGCTGAGAAATAAGACATTTCTAATAGACTCACAGCCGTCCCTGAGATCCCGGAAATCAAAGACATATAATACTGTGTTCGCCCAAGTGTTGAAAAGCATTTTTAACTGACAATAAAAGGAATTGATAAAAGATTAAAAATCAAATTGTAAGTATGTATTTCTTTTAAAGACTAGTGAATGTTTAGTAGGTAGTTATATTCTCAGACAATAAATATGGGAAATTATGGGTATAAAATTCGGTGGGAACTGAGCCAAGTCTGGATGGCAGAATTAATTTTGTTTTAGTTGCTTAACATTATCAGTTCTCTGCTAAGAATGTAAACCCCTGGGGAGCATGAACGTTGTGTCCCTCACTATCTGCTGCATCCTCTGTCTGCAGCGGCTCTGCCGGCGGTTCCTGTGGTGCCACTGTACCTGGTGCAGTCACTAACCTCCCACGTGTGCCCAGGCCCCGGAATACACTGCATCACACCCTAGTCCCTGAAAACTTACTTGTTTCCTTGCTTGATTCCTAATGCAAGATTTGAGAAGAGATGCTAAAGTTCCCCCTGAACAGGTCCCTCAGTCCTAAAGACAAGGCTGTAATTCTCGACTGGAGAGTCCTGGTTCTACCGCTCGCTCACGCACATCTGACAAAGAAAGTCACTGCACGGTCCCATGGCTGGGCTTACAGACGTCTAATAGTCTTAGACGTCTCAACACGGCTAGCCACACCCTAGTCACAAAGAAGAGAAGAGCAAAGGCTGAGGAACTGGGAGCTGCTCGAAGGGGACAGATAAGGAAAAGTGGAGGCAGCGTGGCAGGCACTGGCAGGGTTGGAAGGTCAGTATGGACTAAAAGAGTCAAGGTTGGAAGCAATGGGAAGAGCACGTTTGGCCCCACTTGCAGGGGAAATAGAAAATAGGTTACACAGACGTTTTTCGGAGTTGGAAAGCTTGTGCTAGGGCTATTTCCAGCTTTGGGGGTTCAAGGAATGACCTTCGCCATCATGAGTTGACGTAGACTACAGACAAAAATACATGCTATTTTTAAACACTTGGAAACCATGGCATTCCATTCTGATATTTTCTTTGTTTTACATCTACTTGTTCCACAAATGAAACCTTTAACATGCACATGAAATTAGCCTGAGAAATCTAAAACCATAAATAGATATGCTATCTCCAACTGGATTACCCACGTAAACCTCTTTACCTGTTACTTCAAATACCCTTCATAATAAATAACGTGTGCAGTACCCTTCATAATAAATAACGCCACAAAATAATTAGTTTTTATTGGAAAACAAACCTCTCTTTTCCAAAAAACTTGTCTTCATATTACTTTTATTAACACACATGCTCAGCACATATTTGTACAATGCATAAAGCAGCTTTCTATGTAATATTAAGATATTCTGCTCACCTGTCCCTTAAAGAAATTCCTACACTTGAGCCCCACTGCAAACTGCTGGATAACCCCAATATTATTGGCTATAAAATTTGAAAAATAATCTCAAAAATAGGGTGACTTTCAATACACTGGCTATGGAACCAAATATATGAAGGACACAGACCAAGGGCTTTCTTAGAATAACAGAGGTTTCACTGTTTTGTGCTCTAGGAAATATTAAGTGTTCGTCAATTCTCTCTCTACTATGCCAACTTTGTTAATTTAAGAAATACTTTTCACTCTACCTTTCATTCCCTATTCAGGAAAAAAATTTCCTAGGTCCCCAAGGTTTACACATTCTGCCCTTTTATTGGCACTTCTTAAAATTCAGGGGAGCCTCCGTGAATAATGGGGTGGGGAGAAGTGGTGCAGAGTTGTTGGGATCGCTTTTAGTCAGTGAATAATGCATATTTTAAAGTTGACCTTTTAATCCAAGTTTTTATTCAATACCATAGCAAGGAATCCAGCAACATGGTCAGTCAAACATTTGTATGCCAATGGCATTGAAGAATGAGTTTCATGAGGAAAAAAAATAGATAATAAAGAAGCCAATATATTCTTTTTAAGGCTAAATGGAGGTCAAAGAGAGATTTATTTTTAGGTAGAAAGTAAGTTGTCCACAAAAAGAAAAAAATTGTCCTAAGTTTTAAGAAGTGGATATTCACATCATTTTTGTAATTTCTCCTCTAGATGAGATATTGCTAGTAACTGTGTATCTATAGAAATGCAAATGCAAACCTAGTGTTAGTCACATTGACACTATTGCTTTTCATTCCTGTTTCCAGGAAGAAATCATTTTCCAAGTTGCCGTAGGCTTAACCTTTCTCTTGGGTAGATGTGCAATTTATCAGAATCTCCAAAGCATAAAAATCAAGTAAATATTACATCAAAGGGGATAGGATGGCTCAGTGGCATGGCTCAGTGATTGAGCATCGATGCAGAAGCCAAGAGGTCATGGTTTGATTCCAGTCAGGGCACATGCCTGGGCTGCTGGCTAGATCCCCAGTAGGGCCGTGCAGGAGACAGCCAATGGATGATGTTCCTCTCTCATTGATGTTTCTATGTCTCTACCCCTCTCCCTTCCTCTCTCTCTAAATATCAATGAAAACATTTAAAAAATGGGGGCCGGGGGATAGGATGAATGGATTGACTACAAAGAATTAGGAATTAGAAAAAGCCCCGAGTTCCAGAATTTCCTACTTATTCATATTCTAGCCTCCTCAAAACATTCCCTATCCCAGGTCCTGTTGTAGACTCCATGGGAGGCACATTTCATCCATGTGTAAGAAAGAATCACCTGACATGTTTGCCATCCAGAGCCACAAAACGGACTCCCTCACTCTCAAACCGCGAGCTCGCTGGGGTTCACCTAGGTTGAACAGACACTTGTGGGATCTGCCCCTAAATTAATCCCCAAAATTCTGTGTTGAATAACTCCCCAGGAAAGCCAACATTTTATACCTACATGAAGTTTGAGGGAGGAGATATATGCTGCGTTTGAGACGTGTGCGGCTGAGCTGAAATCATCAGAAGCTTAGTTAGCTTTGTATTTTTTTGCAAATGTATTCTTATGGCCCCATTGAAAATGTACTGCTATTGCATCTGTTGTCGGGTTTCTAGTGTGAAGATGTATGGCTGGTGACGTGTG